GACTGTACCCTTTTGTATCCCCACCAACAATGTATGAGAATTCTAGTTGCTCTGCATCCTCATCAGCACTTGGTATTGCTGATATTTTTAATTTCAGTTCTCATAATAGGTGATATTTCACTGTGGCTTTGTCTTTCTCTGATGACTGTAATGATGAACAGCTTTTCATGTGGTTATTTACTGTCCATTTATTCTCTTTAATTCAGTATCTGTTCAGGTCCTTTATCCATTATTTAATCAATTGTTTTCTTACTGTTGAGTCTTGGGAGTTCTGTGTATTTTCTGGATATGTGGGATATGTAATTTGCAAACATTTTAATAGCTTCTCTTCATTCTTAAAAGTGTCATTTGCAGAGTAACATTTTTAATTTTGATAAAGTCCAACTTACCTCTTTTCTATTGTGGTTCTTGCTTTTGGTCATGTCTCTAATGTTTTTGCCTAATCCTAGGTCCCAAAGATTTTTCGCTCATGTTTTCTTCTCACTAAAATTTTATAGTTTTACACTTAAATTTATGGTGCACTTTTGAGTTAATTTTGTGTAAATGTGAGACTTAGATTGAAGTTCACTTTTTTTGGCCTGTAGAGAGGTCCAATGTTACATTCCATTTATGGAATTGTTTTTGCTCTTTTGTCCAGAATTAAATTGACCATGTTGTGTGACTTTATTTTTGTACTCTATTCTCTTCCATTTATTCGTTTGTCCCTTTCACCAACACAGCACTCATGATTACATTAAGTGGTTCACTTTGGTTTTTAAGTAGGCATCATTCTATCAGTGAGATTTGCCATGTCTCGTGTGATGTGAAATGCTGATCTAGGCTGGGGCTACACAATGGTAGAAGCCAAAAGACTAAGGAAGTTTCAAAGTGGATGCCCCTGACATGTGGAAATCCTGAGAAAGGAAGGAGGGGGCTGGTGGGGTAGGGATTGCAACTTTCCATTACATTCTATGTTGGTTACACCCTAACTTTTATACTCTATTTATTTGACTTAGAAATGTTTCATGTCAATTTTTATTATTTAAAAATAAATGGAGAGAAACAGGTGAAGTGTTAACAGACATTTAGGGTGCTAGTAACTTTCAGCTTTTGTTCTGGGTACTGACTACCAGGAGTCTTTCCTTTGTGAAATCCACTCACCTGTCTGCTGAAGAGCTGCATACTTTTCTCTATATGTTTCTTATACTTTAATTGAATAGTTTACAAAAAAATTGCTATTTAGAATGTTTGAGTTGAGAGATTAATGAAGAATTTTACTTTGCATTTTATAACCTATTGTTATTTTTCTCTTTGTTTTGATGTATTGCCTTTATAAACTGATATTTTAAGAAATTTTCAGCATATCAACTACAATAAAAAAAAAAGTGGACTTCTATGTATGCACATGCTGAAGATGCCCAAGACAAACTGCTAAGAGGAAAAACAAGTTTTTGAACAGTATGGTATAGCATGACACTTTAAGAAAAAAAGACTGGAAAGCTATATACCAATTGACTCGACAGCATTTTTTCACTCTTAATTGTATACTTAAGGGACAGAGTATATGGTAGGAAGTTAGGGTTTCAATTTCAATATTATATTTTTCTGTACAGAACTTGTATATCATGAACATTTTCTAATTTGAAAATTAGAAAACACAGTAAAGAAATAACAAAACCACAAAATGATGAAGCACCCAGGGCCAACAGCCAGGAGCCATCACAAGCTAAGTCTACAGGAAGCGAAGTAAAGGAATGACTCCTAAGTGTCCCCCAGAACAGGACAGGAGCTGTGGCCTTCATTGGTGGTGGCGATTAAGGCACAGCAACCTGGTAGGGGAGAGAGCCGGGGGACCAGATACCCTGGCCTCATTCTCTTCCTGCCAGCCATCCTCCAAGCACTGACCCTCTTCAGTAGCTATTAGATGGGAGAAGCTTTTGCTGCAGACTGTTAAGACCAGCCTTCTAGAGCACTGAGATGTGGGGGTAACAGGATCCAGAGGGGCAAATACCCCAACCCGTTGGCTTCCCCAGCAGTGTGTTTGTGCAGTCTTCCCTTAGCTACACTCTTGGTGGCCCCTGAGGCTCCCAGCAATGTGTTCTCAATGCTGTGAAGATTCTAGTTCTCTTCAGAGCGGTGCCAATGTCAACAGTGCTTGCCAGGCCATAGGAATTTTTATTCTCTATTTTCCCACCTTTTCCAATTTAAAAAATTTGTGTACATTGGGGAAAAAATCCAGAAAACGACCTCTGTCTCTCCCAACCTGGAGTAGTGAGGATTGCTTCAAGCTTTAGACAATCACGCACTGGCTCCTAGAGTCAGCTCTCTGGGCCCCAGAGGCTGCACCGCCACAGGCTGTCCTGGCTTTCCCAGAGCTGCTGTGTCCTGCTGTGTATCCCACAGAGCATGGTCAGCCTCTGTTTTCTCATCTGCGAAATGCATCTTTCAGTGAATTAAGAATGATGTGAAGACCAAGTAGGATCTTGGAAGGGAACACTCATTGGAGATTATGAAGTATATGTAATTTTGTGGAATTCCTACTACTATGCTATCCTGGGCTTCAGTGAAGAAATGGTAGCTATTAAGGCTCAGAGCTACAGTGACCCCTGGTGGTCACTCATTTGTATGACATGCCCCTCCCCCAAATTTAAACCCACCTCCCCACCCCATCCCCTAGTTTTCAGGTTATGGGTTGAGTTTTCATTTGTTAGGCTGTGACATACCCCATCCTGCGAGGGTGAAAGGACCTGAGTGGACATAATGACATCTGAAAGGCAATAGGAATATCCAGTCAGAGCTTGGAAATTCAATTGTGGGGCACTTGGGGTGTCAGCCAGCCAGTCCTGCTGAGAATGGGTCCACCTAATGGTCTTGGCCTTCCTTGGATCTGGGGCTCCCTTGGTCAGCTGGCAGGGGAAGAGCGGAGCAGACCCACTGACATGGAAGGACCTCTTCCTGCTCTGTCACTCCACATCGCTTCTTTTCGGGGAATCCCAGGGTCTGAGGTCTACCCCCACTTAGGAGTCCCAGTTCCCCCAGAATGTACTTTCAGTGCCATGTGGATTTTCCCAGATGTAGCCCCTCCCTACAAGTGGTTTCAGCCCTGGCCTCAGTGAACTCACCTGAGAGGAGGCAGAGCATTTAAAGGGAGCAGGTCAGGACCCCACAGCCCTGCATCTGGGTTGTGGCCAGGATCCACCTGGTGTCCATCCTTAGTGTGTCTCCAGGACTGGCTGCTTGTGACCCCAGCTCCAGCCTTTCCTGTCTCAAACCTGTTATCCATATTCTCTGGCCACCAGTCAAGCTTTAGCCATTTTCCCGCTGCCTTCTTCCACCCAGAGACCCCTTCCACTCTCTATTGGTTCTGACTCTAGCACCCCACAAGCCACCATCCCCACAGTAATAAAACTTCTCAGGCTAGAAGTTTGTCTTGCTGACTCTGGGTGGCCCTGCCTGCTGCTTTGCTGATTCCCCTAAGTTCTGACACCTTAGTTTGGGGTAGGCAGGGTTCCAAGGCAATCATATGATTCTGAGCATTTTGTTTTTTAAAATAAGATTTATATGTGTGAATATGTATATACAACATATATATGTTAATTTTGCAAATGATTTAGGTTCTGAGAGGAAATTTGAGCCCCCTTTATCTATAACTATTGGAAAAGTTTGAATCTCTAGTTACAAAATTAGTGTAGAAAATGTGTGCTTTCTAAGATTCCAAGAATCATCAACTGTTTTATACAAGAACAACTAAGAGAAATGCCCACCAATAACAGGGTTTAACATGAGTTTTGCTTTGGGAATGTGCAAAAAACCTGGAATGAGGTGGGCACCCTGGGGCAGAAGTTCTCAAGATCTGTTATTCCTTAGAATCAGTTTAAAAATAGCTGTGGCTAGGGTCCTCCTGGGATAGTTAAAACTGGGGGGAGGGTGATTCTCCCTGTGCTGCCAACCTGGGAGCCGCTGGCCACATGTGACTATTTACACTCAAATCAAGATAAAAGAAAATAAATTCAGATTTCATTGCATGAGCCACATTTCAAGTGCTCAGCAGCCACATGTGGCTAGTGGCTGCGATGCTGGACAGCCCATCACAGAATATCTCCATCACTGTTGGAAGTTCTGTTTGGCAGCGCCTCCACTGGGTTGCCAAGTCCTGCTGCTGCTGCTGGAGGTTGGAAGTTGGGCAGGTCAGCTTTGCATCAATATAAAACAGAAGCGATTTTCTGAGTCAGTTCCTAAAAGGATGATGGTGACCATGCATGTATTTGAGAATTAGCTCCCTGTGACTCCTATTTTCCTGCTCAGTTGTCACCCTATGGAGTTAAGAAGCTTCTGGAAGTGTGTCCTGGGATAGTGGAAGAAACCCACATGCCCCTGTGAACAGGAACATTCTGGGACTCTCCTTCTCTCCCTGTCTGTTCAGCAGGAAGAAACAAAGCCATCTGCACAGGCTCGAACAGGCTCTGTTCTGAGAAGCAGCCATGTAAGAGTCTGGTGCCTGCAGGAAACCAACCTTGCAACCTTCACTAGTGACCAAGGGGCCAGACAGAGGAGATTTAACTGACAGGCACCCAGCCTTTGCCTCTCCACAGTGCATCCTTGAGCCATTGGAAAAGTGACGAAATCCCAGGACTTGCCCTCCTTTGTGCATGGAGAGCGGTGGCGTTTCTTTAGGTCAGGAAATGGGAGGAGTTCAGCCTCGGTGACTCACTTCCTCTGGTCCCTGCACATCTGTGATTGTGTAACAAGGTGTACAAATTGAGCTCAGACTTGTGATTGCTGGAACAGCTCTCACTGAGCAAATTCTGCTGAACTGCTCCCTGGGTTCAGATCCTCACTTTGATTATCTAATAAACTCTTTGGCTAACTCTCAATGAAACTTTTATTTCAGTGGACACCCTTGCGTGGGGTAGGCTGTCCTTTGGGTCCTCCTCACTGGGATAGTGACTGTCTCCCACAGTGGGAGGACAGCGTCGGAGAGTGGTTTGGTGGCTCCCCCTGTGGGAGACAGTGCTTATTCAATGAAAACCCAGCCCCTGCCAGGAAAGCCTTTATTCCCATCTCTGGGCAACCCATTTGGCCTCCTGCAGTTAATCCTCTTCTGGGATATTGTACTTATCCTTCACCCCACAAGCCACCACAGCAAAAAAGAACTCCGGGAAGAAGGTGCGGATGTACACAGCAGCCTTGGGGATGGGGTTGGCCATGAAGACCTCTTGCTTCTTCCGTCTCACGGTGCGCATCACTTCCTCGGCCACCTCCATGGGGTGCACCCCATAGGTCAGCTTCCTGAAAAAGACTGAGATGCCCCGGAGAGGGTGGAAGTTATGGGCTCAGAAGGAACAAGCAGTCAGAACCCCCTCTGTGCCCACAGGTAGAGCATGCCATGGCTGGGGCTGGGACTCCAGGCCAACTTGACTGTCCACTGACCATGAGGCCCTGGGGAGACACTTGATGCCTCTGGGGCTCAGTTTCTGCATCTAAAAAGTGGGCACAATTTCCTGCCCGATTAACTTCAGAAGGTGGTTGTGAGCAGTAGAAGGGATGCGAAAGAGCTTAGAAAATAAGAAGGTGCCAGATGAATTAGGAGTTGTTGTTTAAAATGGCTGCAAAACAGTGCTTTTCTAGAGCCTCTTGGGACTACTTGCCAGAACTATTTCGTTCTCCTGAGGCAGATGGAGCCTTGGGCAGAGGCAGCCCTCCCTCTTCAGGGCACTGGAGAATAGGACAAGGACTCAGGTGCCCTCAGTATGTGCCAGTTGCTGTCCAAACCCTCTGTTGGGCTGAGCCTTCCATCTTCCCAGTGGCTCTCTGGGGGAGGTATTACTGTCATCGCTCACTTTCTAAGGGGGACACTGCGGCACCGTGGTCAAGGGAATTGCCTGAGTTTAATCATTTACCATGTGCAGACAAGCTTCCAATTCAGGCAAGCCAGCTCCAGACTCTCAGCCTCTGTGCTGCCTCCCAGGAAAAGTGGGAGCAGGGAGATTTTTAAAGACCCTGTCCTGGCAATTCCATATGGGAAACCGCGGCTCAGAGACAAGTAGTCACTTGGCCAAGGTCACAAGGCCCGTGAGTGACAGAGTCCAGCGGGGCTTGGCCTGCTGGTTGTGGGTTGGGATTCTTTCTACCTCGTGCCTCAGGACTGAAGGATTAGGATTCCCTAAATTAGCAATTAGTTGGGCACAGGGACCCCTACCTCCTATGGGCTCACTTCAGGAGCACCCTGTAGCCTGAATGAAGCCAGGCTGTCCCGACCCCCCCCCCCCCCCGTGGAGTCTGCTTCAGCTCCTGTCCCTCGGCTCTCTCCTGCAAGCTCACATTTCCAAATGGAGGCTTCCCAGCTTCCTTGGCCAGGATTAGCTTGGTAGGATTGGATGAAAGTCGGGCTCACAGTGCTGACCACGACATCATACTCCTCGACTTCGGCTCGGAGGCAGTCAAAGAAGCCTAGCACAGCATGCTTGGAGGCAGCATCTGCAGGAGAAACCAGACAGAGGAGGTGTGTGAGGGGCCCCTGCTTCCCAGGGGAGCGATGGAGACAAGAGGCCAAGCTCAGCTGGAAGGGACCTCGCAGACCCCCCAGCCCTGCCCTTTACTTCACAGAAAGCCCTGCGTGGTGGACAGAAGCAGAGCTGGACCAAATCCAGCTTAGCCACATCCCCTCTGTGTGATCTTGGACAAACCATTTCACCTCTCTGAGGCTTGGTTTTCTTATCTTTAAAATGGGATAAGATTGGTGTTATCCATACCTAGTGATGTTCTCTTGCAGGAAGGCGAATGCTGACACAGCTGAAATCATAGATAATTGGCCCAATTTAGCTCTTGGAGAAAGAGGAACTGGAATAACCTAAAGGCCTCCTTTACTTCATTGTAATACTAAAAATTGTCCCCACAGGTGGAGATTTAACACTATGAGACATGTGACCTGTGTTCAATCAGGTAATGAACTTGCTCCTTACCCAAAATATCCCCCTCTCCAAAACCCCCTCTCCAAACCCTCTCCTCACCCCAAGCCTGGGAAGAAAGGTCCTATGGAACACGAGCTCTCCCTTTCTGCATTGTCAGGTCAGACAATTGAAGATGCTGCTCTGTTTACTGACCCTAGTGGTTGTGTTACCGGCTTTCCGTCACCAGGGGACAGGTCTTCCCATTTAGGAAGTCGGTAGTGATATCACTCTTGCCAAGTAGTTGTGAAGATCATGTGAGAAAAGGCCTATAAAATGCCTACCTCAAGCCTGAGTTTCCAGTCCTTCCCAGGAAGGCTCATACTGGAGTGATTTGCTCCGTGTCCCAAGGACAGCTGGTGGTCTTGGTGAGCCCTGAGCACTGACCTGTCACTTCCTGGCCCCCTTTACTTTGGAGATCCTGTCCAAGTAATCCACTCAACAAATCACCCAATTCAAATGGAGGAGGCAGAGGTTGGGTAAACAAGAATTATTCCAAGAATTCCAAAAAGAAAGGAGTGACACTACTTAAAGTTTGGGAAATTTAAAGCCATGTCTGAATTACAATGAACCCCAACTTCCCATTTCAGAGGTATCATTTGGAAGCTGAGTGAGGCAGGGGATGGATATGTCATGGGCTCCACCTCCAGGCCCAGATGTCCTAGGGAGAGTGGGGAAGCCTACCCATGCCATCCAGGTTAAGGACAGAGGTGCTGGAGGCTCACCTATAAATGAAGATAGTCAATGAGGATTGCACCTGTGCTAGGCCCGGGAGACCCTTTATCACATGATCACTGTCCTTTCAGTGGGCTCCCAACTAAAAAACGTCTGTGGAGGCATGATGAGAAGTCTCTGGGGGATGGTAGTGAATAGGAGGCCACTAGCTCTGTCTCCAGATCTGGCACCTCTTGGCTTCAGCCCTGTGGTGCCACAGCTATTGTTTAGGAAGCTGGAAATCCTGATTTTTATTGAAATGTCCTAATTTTCAAATAATGAAATACTTAACACCTTAACTTTACACCAATTCCAATGTGTATGTGTTTTTTTTTTCCCAAACCAGCTGGGTGTCCTACAATTTCACATAATTCTGACATGATCTACCTGAAATTAGCTTCAGATGCCAGGCTACGGGCTTGGTCCTACAAGACTCCCCCAACTCTTACTTCAAGTGTCAGTCACAAGTCCAGATTGTCACCTGTGTTTTTGACCAACCAGCTATGGATCAGAGGTTTGTAGCCTACAACGCCCTGCTTGGATTTGGTTAATTTGCCAGAATGTCTCACAGAACTCAGAGGAACATTCTACTTACTAGATCACTAGTTTCTTAAAGAAGGATATAAATCAGAAACTGTAAGATGGAAGAGGTATAGGGCAAAATATGGGTGGAGGGGGCAGAGATTCCATGCCTACTCAAGCTTGCCAGTCTCCCCAAATCTCCCCAAATTCACCAAGCTGGAGCTTTCTGAACCCCACCCTTCTGGGATTTTATGGCTGCTTCATTACATAGCCAGGATGGATCAAATCACTGGGATTGAACTGAATCTCCAGCTCCTCTCCTCCACCCCAGAGGTGGGGGTAGAACTGAAAAAAATAACCCTCTAATCACATCTCTGGTTCCCCCCACCAGCCCCATCCTTGGGTGACCTGGGGGCTTTCCAAAAGTCACCTCATTAGCATAACAAGACACCTTTATTACTCTCATGGGGAGGAAATTCCAAAGGTTTTAGGAGCTTTGTGCTAGGGACAAGGACAAAGACCTCTCTATCCCTCTCCCCTTTCCTGATGTGCACCCATCTTTTTCAGTGGCAGTGTTTCTGGCCTTTGAAGTGGCAGTGTTACGGGGAAGGGGCATTGCAGCTGGGGCTGTGCTCCCATGCCAGGAGCATGAGCTTCATCTGGTGTTGAGCAATCACAGGGCTGTCCTGACCTGTGAGACTTGAGTTTCGGGGAGAGTGTGATCTTACCTTTCAAATCTCAGCATCTCCTGTGTGACTTATGTGTCATCAGGGCTCAGCAATAGGAACCAAAAGGATGAAAGAAAAACCAGCAGAAGGCATGAAGTGGAACTCTGGATCTCCCCGCCACGTAACCAACGCCTACTCCTAGACACAGCATCTTGTAAGACACATAACATTTTTGTCTTAGCAACTTACAGGCTGTCCGGAACGGTATTCCAAACTTCCCTTGGATATTATTCACTAGCACAATTTGGCCTGTCCTCCGGGAGATCATGTTGGGAAGCAGGACTAGAAAGCACAGGACAATGGGTCACAGTTACAAATTGAAGACAGGTAGGCAGCAGACCCCTCTCCCGAACCCTCCATCACATCTGTTCCTCAACCCTCCCAGTAATTAGGTCACAGCAGGATGGGGATGGAAGGGCCCCCAGCAATCATTTATTCTGTGTTTCCTACCAGTGGGCTTAGCTCACCTGGTGAATTGCTGGGCAATTTTACATGACCCCACAATGTGCATGAAATAATAATGTGAGAAGTAGTCCCTTTTCAATTCTCCTAGTGCCCCCAGAAGGAAACCTTACCTTGTTCTAATATGTCCTTAGCACCTGTGAAGCTTTTTAAAAAGAGAGCGTAGACCTCAGTCCTGAGTGTTCCCAAGTGTTTTGGGAGAACACTAGTCTGTTTTGTTTTCTGATTTTCTTTCATTGTTGAGAGGGAAAGGGATTTTGATTTTTATGGTGGCATTATAAAGGTTTCTTAAAGTAAATTAATTTTAAATTGAGGAAATTTAGAGAGTAATAGGAAGTAAATGATAGTATGGGTAGAATAGGAACAAGGCAAAAAACCCAAAAATCCAGAGTCTTGGCTTTCGGAGCGGTCAATTCTATGCAGCCCTTGCTGTGGGTAAACTGAGACCCAGAGCTAGCGACTAGACAGGGTCTCTTTGCAAGTTAGAGCCCACCCAGGAAGAGAAACCAGCCGTGGCCTTTCCCATTCCACTTTTTCTATTCCTCACTTTAATGCCAATGAACAGGACTCTCAGAGGCTGATTGAATGACACGTCAGATATTGGCTCGCCCTGCTTGGTATATCCACAGGGACTGGGTTGGAGGAAACAATTGTCTCTGGGGCATCATTGAAGAAGCTCTGGGAAATCATCTTTCTGCCCCAAATACCTTTCCCTTCATCTGGCTAGTACTCAGAATGCTATTATAATGAAGAATTTGGCTGCAAAATAGAATTGATCCTGTTTTCTCAGCCTCCCCCAAGGCACCCAACTCAATGTGGCTAGTCTGTAAGCTTACATTCTTTCTCTTTGTGTTCTGCTTTGATAAACTTTCATTTTGAGGGAAACTTTCATCTAGTTCTGCTCCATGTCATCACCAGCCCCAATCTCCCAGGCTTCAGATTGGCATTTGGTGGTGAGAAATCTCTACAAAGGAATCACTACCCTATCCTTAAAAAGGAGACATCCTCCTGCCTTCCCTGTTTCTGCAAAACATTGACAGTGTACTCTTGTAGTTTGGGGAATCCATCTTTTTCTTCTTCCCTTCTGGGGAATGAATCTCTACCTTTGACCAATTGTTATGTTTAAGAACATATCAACCACAAGGTTGATATATCCAATTATAAGCAAAGGATGAAGACAGTGGTCTAGAGATGTACAATAGGGTTGGAGGGGGAAGTCATGAATGTGAGTAGGAAGAGAGGGGTAAAGGGTAAGGTTTGGGTATGGAGGGGCAGAGTTTGGGTAGGGAGGGGTTTTACCAGGAGGGGACTTGAAATATACCAGTGAGACACTTTCAAATCTCTTTTCTTTCATCAATATTTATGGTCAGAAAATGAAAGCTTTCACTAAATAAGGTAGTTTTTCTGAGCGTGTCTGGAAGCTCCAACCAGAATAGGATGATCATCTGTCTACATAATAGAACACTTTCCAGCAACCCAAGGCCCAAAAATCCACAGGGAAGTCAAACTCACGAGACCTTTGGTCAATGTGATGGGCCCAAAGTAATTGGCATCCATGATCTTTTTGTCAAGCTCCAGAGAAATCTTATGAGCAGGTCCCTTCATCTTTATGCTGGCATTGTTGATGAGGACGTCCACACAGCCATAACAATCCAGGACCTCTTTTGCCACATCCTGGACACAGCTGATATCTGAGAAGTCCAAGAGGACTAGCTTTGGGGTGAATGTCTGTTGAACCAATGAGAAAATCAAAGCACAGACCTTGGGGTCTTTCACTGTAAAAACCACCCCTTTTGAAATTCAGAGCTTATAGAATGATTACAAAAATAAATGATGAGAATGAAGCAGAAATGACTCTGGGAAGATAATCCACTCTTGGGGACCAGAGCAACAACAACATAAATTCAGATGGCCAAAGGGCTGGAAATGACAAATCCAAATGAAAATCACCCTTCATAGTGGAGGCTGTGCGATTCTAGTGGGGATATCATCACAAAATATTTCCAAGCTCCTTTTTGGTATTTGCTTTTCAAACTGGCTTACAAGCCATAAGAGAATCCATCATAGCACAGTACTTTGTAGACACATTTCATTTTGACCAAAATCATACAACACAGTACTTTTGGAGCGCCAGGTGCTGTGTTCTACCCAGACATTCACTGTTTGTTGTTGTTGTTATTATTTTTAAATTAATTATTTTTAAATTTATTTTTTACATCATTGTTCATTTTTAAACAGTATTTGCTCCCCCCCTCTCAGGTGTAGTCCCCATAGAGTTTCCTTCCCCAAGGCACCCGTGCACCATCACCTCAGTCCCCTGTGCTCCTCCCTCCCTCCCTCTGACCCCTCTCCCGCCTCCTCCCCTGCAGGATGTCTCTGGTTTCTAATTGTCTGTTTTTGTTTTGTTGTGTTTTGTATTGTTATTATTTTTTTACACTGACAGACATTCACTGCTATCAAGATTCTTGATTATTAGAGGGGGGACAGACGGGACAATCAATGTTACCATGTGGTTAAAGCAATTCCAGTGTTTGACAGACATTAATTCTGAGATATATTCTTGAAAAGAGCATCCTGATCAAATTCATTTGGGAAACATTATTGGATATTCTCTTGAGATACAAGATGACTATTAGCATATCAAAGACTCTGAAAAGTCTTGCAATAAAGATACCAACTAGACAAGTTTGAGTTAACTCAGTTAAGTAAGTTGACTCAGACTGTCATTTTTCCTCAATACCTGATAATATCCTAAGAAACACACTGCGGAGGATGCTGTGTCATCCCGTTCAATTCATCTCAAATACCAGATTTAGCACAAACTTACTTTTGGCGATTTCCCAAAACCAACTCAACATCAAGGTTAAAGATTTACAATAAAGATTTCCTGAAGAGAGTTTGACAGACAATTCCTTAAACAATATCCAGAAATGGTTTGAATATGGCAGTTGCATTGAAATAAACATTACTTCCTGATTTCTTGTAAGAGGACTGCATTTCCCTGATTTCTTTTAAGAAACTATCATTTGAGGTATTGTAAAAGAAAAGAAAAATCAGCCATAAGTATTTCTAATCACAACCCACACCTATGACATATCTGGATTATCTTTGAGTCTGATTTAAATAGGGTTGGTGACTAGAGGCCACATTTTTGGCATGGTGAGCGGTCAAACTGAGTTGACCCTTTATGACTAACAAGTATGCTTATGGCAAGGTCAGTCCCCCCAAAGCAATTTCCAAATTGCTTTCAAATACTTCCAAATCCTTTTTCTTTCATCAATATTTATGGTCAGAAAATGAAACTTCATTAAATAAGGTAGTTTTTCTGAAGGTGACTGGAGGTGCTTTAACAATTTATGAAGGGCACGCATGCCCAGGAGTTACCCAGCATGATTGCTGGAAGGGCTTACCTTGCTGGGGTCAGCCACGCTGGTCAAGGAATCATACAGGTTCTCTAGTCTCTCCCAGTTCTTCCCACACAGCACCAATCTTGCCCCACCAATGTGGAACACCCGAGCACATTCTGTGGGGGAGGAAAAAGAAGGGCAGAGACACTGTGTGGATGGATTACTGATAGTGAGACCCACTTCTGTTACAAACTCCAGAATTGAAAAGATTCAAAATCCTTAGGACCCTGGGGTCCTTTAGAGGTCATTCCATTCAACCTCCTCCTGGGCTGGATTTTTCCCTTTCCAGCCTCAGTGTGGTTGCCTCCTGTGAAGAGAAGTTCCCAACCGGGTGAAACAGTCCCATTGCATTAAGTAGTTCTGATTATTAGGACAGTCTTAAACTGGACAGAGAGATGACTCTGTCCGGTTAGCTCTAAATATATCTCAATCTAAAGATTCTGGAAACAGCCATCATGTTTTTTCAGACCAAATGTCACCAGTTCCCTTCACATTTTCTCTGTGGGTAGATAATCTTATCAGGGTTCTTTTTATTAAAAAAGTAAACCTGCCTCTGTCTAGTAGATTTTACTCTGGACTAATTCCTGAGTCACCCAACACAGGTTTCTCGCAAATGGACTCACAGCATTCTTGTGTAGTAATAATACTATATTTAAGAATAACACAAATTATCATATTTGGAGAGTTTTCTTGTTCTAGGGACTGTTGGCAGAGATTTACATAGATTAGCTCATAATTCAGTAGTGCCATGAAGTCATATCTTTGGTGGGTTCTCTGGAAGCAGAATCTGAGACAGGGATTTAGGTGACCAGCATTTCTGAGGAATGCATTTCAGAGAAAAACCTGTCAGGGAATAAAGGCATGAACAGGTCGTAATTTCAGGCAAAATCTAGCCTTCACTGATCCAAGGAAGGCTCTGGAGAATAAACCCAACTGCAGACTTGTCGCAGCTGGAAGCAAGAGGATCAGCCCTTTGTGCTCCTGTGTTAACCAGTGACCCTGCACTGCCTTCCTCTGGGGATGGGTGCACTAAGGGCATGTAATTTGTGGGCAAAGCAACATCTACGGCAGAGAGTGAGTCTGTGAGCCGCGGCAGTCAATGCTCATAGCATCTGGGCACTGGAGGAAGTGGCGAGGTCCCGGGCTCTTGGAAGGATACCCCGAGGGTGGGAAGGGTGTCAACAGTACCTACTGCAGGAGGTACATGCTTATTCCTGTCCCATTTTACACCAAGCAGTCGTGGGCCCTGACAGACCTAGGATGCCAAAGGATCACTGGGCAGCACTGGGTGCCCACTGGAGGCTGGTATTCTGAGTGCAATGTGATCTGATGGCTGTGTGGTTTTTTTCTTGCCAAGGTCAGCAGCCTGGTGCATGGGCAAAGGAGGACAGCTGGCTGGGCTTTGACAAGTGGGAGTTGGTGCAGGGAAATGGTACTAGAGAGAGAATGATTGAGGTGCTGAGCCCTACAGTCTAAGCCAGATAGGAACAAGAGTGAAGCAGAAGGTGCTGATAGAGCAAGGCCGAGGGGTAGGGACCCAGGAGGAATAGGGCCCATGGGGATGGCAATAAGCCCACCACACAGTCTCAGTGGACCCAGAGGCAGGCCATGATTTGGTTGGAAGTGCTTTTGAATTCTGCCCAAGAGGATCTCTTAGAAGGACAGTGGGACTCCAAGAGAGAGGGCCTAGGTGTAGACAGCCGGAAAACTGAGGATGAGGGGCCATTGAGCAGGTGGCGTGCACCCACTTCACAGACAGTACAGATGAATGTGCCTCTGCGGGACCTATACACGTGTCCACAAGAGAAAGAGTCAGGCTCAGTTCCAAGCACATCCAGCTGTGGGGCTTGAAGTGGTTTTATAACTATGAGAGTTAGGTAAGATTTTTTTCCTGTTCTTTTTCTCTCCCTGTTTTCTGCTTCTCTACCCGCTGAGGGGTCAGAAAGAGCAGCAAGCTTGCTCTGCCCGGCTGGAGGGAGGAGGGGAGGGGGAAAGGAACTTTCATCGCCATGAAATGGACACCTTTACTAAAGTGTTCTACTGAGATCCCAGTTCCTGAGGTGATGCTGTTTGGGAACTGAATGTGACTGATGGGTTTTGTAAAATCTAATAGTAATCAGAAAAGTCATGAGACTAGCTGATTTTTAAAAAATCAAGATGCAAAGGAAGACCTTCCCTCTGTCTAAATTTGAGGGACCAAGGTGGGCTGTCTCACTATGCCCCCTGATTCCTGCTACTTCACTGCTGTTTGTACAAATAAGTGTCATAAAGAGGCCGAAAGGAAATAAGATGAAGTATTCCCAAGTCAGTGAGGTGCTAAGTGTGTTTTCTATGTTTTTACTTTTGAAATCCCTTTTAATATCTGTGGCTTTTATAATAACAGAAATCACGTAAGGACCTTCATCTGGAGGGAGAAAGCTTTAGCCTTCTCGTTTTGCAGCTGAAATTCCAAGTGGCAGTCAGGCTGGCTGGTGTTTTACAACCAGAGGAGTGAGGTTCAATGAAATGAAATGATTCACCCCGAGACCACAGCTGGTCAGTGGTGGACCCAGGACGTGAACCTAATCGCTGACCTTCCCATTGGGGTGCCGGCCCCACTGCTGAACAAGGGGTGCATCGGGGTGCAGTGGGGAAGACTGTGGCCTGTCCTTCTGTCAGTGATGGTGGGCACATTTATAAGCAGGGCATAAGGCAGGGTGAGGAGTCTATGACCAGAAGCCAGACCGAACTCTGGCCTTGACCTTCTTAGGAGAGGCAGCCAGGAGAGTCCTTTCCCATCACCTAATAGTACTTTGTTACTGAGGCTCAGTAAAGTGTTTCTCCTGAGTCAGGCACATGGGCCTGTGGCTTTTTCTCTTTCAAGCAGCAAACACAAATTGAGTCCTTACTTCCCTGTTTCCTCAGGTCAAAGATGATATTGACTGTAAGACGCTTCCTGATTTCAGAATATTAAAATGCAAGTGGATGGGCTGTGAATATTGCAGGCTGCTGTTGATTAAAAGACTGTCAGCTCAATTTCAGAAATGTTTAAAGAATGTTTAGAATGTTCAGAATGACTGTGCATCTAGAGGTGATGAGTCCCAGGCAGGGCTGTGCACTCTGGAGCTGTTCAAGTACACAGGCTTAGCATTCTGAGAGTTACTTTGCTGTGGACACAGTGGTTAACAGGTGACTGATTTCTGACCTGGCTGAACTGTGTGGGTTGCTGGGGGTTGGGCGTGGTGAGTGGGTGTGGGAGGGGCTGTTTCATTTCCCCAGAGAACTGTGTGGAGCTAGCTCCTGGCAGCTGCCCTCTCTCTGCATTCGGTCAGGTTCCCTGGGAGCAGAGGTATGCCATAGGCTGGGCATGGCCTGTTGTGTCATCCATTCGGGGCCCCCCACTATTTTCTTTCCTTGGACCTGAGAAATGGAGCAGTTTGACCCTGGAATCGCTGTGGTTGGCAGCATGTCCAAGCTAGGCATTTATTTACAGTCACACATGCCCAGTTTCTCAAGTTACAGCTAAATACTTGCACTTTATTTTTTCCTGCTTTGCATATCTTTCCAGGGTGGACCCATAACATACAGTAAAAGAGAACTCTGACAGCAGCTGTGACAGAGACTAGACCATATTTCTCTGAAAATGCCATTTTGCTCCATTTGCCATTTTGATAAATTTTCTGGGGTTACCAGATTTGCACAATGTGTGACTCTAGTTGACGAGACTTGAAAAAAAAAATAAGGCCACTGAAACAAATGTCCATCTTTCTGTGGGAGCTAGGACAGTAGTTCTACCTGGTAAGACAATCAGCAAGGTTGTTGAACTGAATAGCCTCCTCTACCAACAGGGTTTAACTGACATTTGTGGGGACATGCCACCCCACAACAGAAGACACATTCTTTTCAAGCACCCATGGATCATTCACCAAAATGCTGTAAGACATCCCTTGACAAATTTAAAATAATCGAAATCATACAGGGTTTGTTCTTTGATCATATTGGACTCCAGTTAAAAATCAATAAAATTAGTATATAATAAGCTTGTCCGAACCCCTAGCCAGGCTCACAAAGGAAAAAAGGGAGAAAGCACAAATAAACAGGATCATCAATGAAAGAGGAGAAATCACAACAGACACAGCAGAAATCAAAAGAATAATCAGTAACTACTATGAAGAGTTATATGGAAACAATTTTAACAATCTAGAGGAGATGGACAAATTCCTACAACTCTACAATCACCCAAAGCTAGATAAAGAAGAAATAGAGCACCTAAACAGACCAATTACAATTAGCGAAATTGAAATGGTAATCAAAAACCTCCCCAAAAACAAAAGCCCAGGACCTGATGGATTTACAAATGAATTCTACCAAACATTCAGAGACGAATTAGTGCCTATCCTTCACAAACTCTTCCAAAAAATTGAGAAGGAAGGGACAATACCAAACACGTTCTATGAAGCCAACATTACACTAATACCAAAACCGAACAAGGACAACACAAAAAAGGAAAACTACAGGCCAATCTCCCTAATGAACACTGATGCAAAAATCCTCAATAAAATTTTAGCTATCAGAATCCAACAATGTATCCATAAGATAATTCACCACGACCAAGTAGGATTCATTCCAGGGACACAAGGATGGTTTAACATCCGAAAATCAATCAACGTTATCCAACACATCAACAAAAAGAAATATAAAAACCATATGATAATATCAATAGATGCTGAGAAAGCTTTCGACAAAGTGCAACACCCATTCATGATAAAAGCCCTTGAAATTCTTGGGATACAAGGAACATACCTTAACATCATAAAGGCCATCTATGACAAGCCAACAGCCAGTATCATTCTCAATGGTGAAAAGCTGAAAGCAATTCCATTAAGATCTGGAACAAGACAAGGATGTCCACTCTCACCACTGCTTTTCAATATAATACTGGAAGTCCTAGCCAGGGCAATAAGACAAGATAAAGACATCCAAGGAATCCAAATAGGAAAAGAAGAAGTCAAACTATCACTATTTGCAGACGATATGATATTATACATAGAGAACCCCAAAAACTCCACAGAAAAGCTAATTCAACTCATCAATCAGTTCAGTAAAGTGGCAGGATACAAAATCAACACGCAAAAGTCAGTAGCCTTCCTATACACAAACAATAAATCTGAAGAAGAAGAAATCAAAAAAACCATCCCTTTCGTTATTGAAACAAAAAAAATCAAATATTTGGGAATAAACCTAACAAAAGAGGTAAAGGTCCTATACAAAGAAAACTATAAAACACTGTTAAAAGAAATAGAAGAAGACACAAAGAAATGGAGAGATATCCCCTGCTCATGGATTGGAAGAATAAACATTATTAAAATGGCCATCCTTCCGAAAGCAATATACAGATTCAATGCTATTCCAATCAAAATTTCAATGGCATTCTTCAAAGAAATAGAACAATTATTGATGAAATTCATATGGAATCACAAAAAACCCCGAATAGCCAAAGCTCTCCTGAAAAAAAAAGAAGGGAATGGAGGCATCACACTCCCAGACTTCAAACTATACTACAAAGCCATAATCATCAAAACTGCATGGTATTGGAACAAGAACAGACATACAGACCAATGGAATCGAATAGAAAATCCAGAAATAAACCCACAGATTTATGGTCAACTAATCTTTGACAAAGGAGCAAAGACTATGCATTGGAGCAAAGAAAGTTTGTTCAATAAATGGTGCTGGGAAAACTGGGTCGCTACATGCAAAAGAATGAAGCTTGACCACTACCTCACACCATACACAAAAATCAACTCAAAATGGATTAAAGAATTAGACATAAGACCTGAAACCATAAAATATATAGAAGGAAATATAGGCGAAACACTACGTGATTTGCACATCAAAGACATCTTTACAGACACATCACCCAAAGCAGTGATAGTGAAGGCGAAGATAAACAGCTGGGACTACATCAAATTAAAGAGCTTCTGCACAGCAAAAGAGACAATAACAAAAACAAAGAGAAACCCCACCAACTGGGAGAACATTTTTGCACCCAACACTAATGATAAAGGACTGATCACAAAAATCTGCAAAGAGCTGATGAGACTCAACAACAACAAAGAAAATAATCCAGTCAAAAAATGGGCAGAAGAGCTAAAAAGAAACTTCTCTGAAGAGGAAATGCAAATGGCCAACAGGCATATGAAAAAATGTTCAACATCACTTGTCATCAGGGAAATGCAAATCAAAACTACCATGAGATACCATCTTACACCAGTGAGAATGGCACATATTAAAAAAACTAGCAACCACAAATGTTGGCGAGGGTGTGGAGAAAAAGGAACTCTTCTGCACTGTTGGTGGGAGTGCAAACTGGTCCAACCACTGTGGAAAGCTGTGTGGAGATTTCTGGACCTACTAAACATAGAGCTTCCATATGATCCAGCAATTCCACTCCTAGGTATTTACCCAAAGGACACAGAAACATCAATTCCAAAGAACACCTGCACCCCTATGTTTATAGCAGCACTGTTTACAATAGCTAAGCTTTGGAAACAACCCAAATGCCCAAAAATAGATGACTGGATCAAGAAGATGTGGTACATATATTCCATGGAATATTACTCAGCATTCAAAAAAGATAAACACATGCAATTTGCAGCAACATGGATGGCGCTGGAAGGGATCATGCTCAGCGAAATAAGCCAAAAAGAAAAAGAAAAATACCGGATGGTCTCACTCATAGCAGGAATCTAGAAAACTTAAATAAGGGACCAGGAAAATGAATAACTATAAGAAAGTGAAAATCAAAATCAACAAAAAACTATGAACCAGAGACACTTTTAGGGGGGCAGGGGCGGGAGGGGAGGGACTGGGGTCAGAATGGGGGGGCTGCAATTGTATGGGGAATATAACAATAAAATTTATTATCTAATAAAAAAAATAAATATAATCTAATAAAAAAAAAATAAGCTTGTCCGAACATAAGCCTTCCCTCATCATATAGAGCCATTTATTAAATCAACAGTTTCTGAGTGCTTGTTATATGCCAACTCTGGAGCTGAGTGCCCAGAATACCCACACACAACACTCAGGCTCCACATAGGGGAGTTGTGCTAGTGGACCTGCTGAGAATCACATGGGGTGTGTTATAGGGGAGCCCCCAGTGCTCAGAGGCCAGTTCCTCAGGGACCATGCAAGAGGATGAAAGTGACAGAGAAGACTTCACAATGAAGGGGTGTCATGTTGGCAACTGGCCCGACACTCCATAGGTACGTTCTACTGAAGGATAAGGTTCCCTGAGCCATTTTGACTCTGGGTGTCTCTAGGTAAATGTCGCCTTTCCAAATCCCCATGGCAACAATTCCTCTCATCTTGTTACTGGTCTCATTGATGAATATCCGTGCCCTGCCCAGTCCTGCAGAAGTTGGCATTTGTGTCCCCTTCCTTCTGAATGCTGAGTCTAATGATGCAGGGCCTCCTCCTGGGGTATTGTTTCCAATAGGGAAGCTAGTTTATCTGCCTTCTGCTTTTTGTTTTTTTAATCTTCCATGGTGAACCAAGTTGATCACCCACTTGAAACTGAGCCCCTCTTCAAGGCATGCAGATTGGCTCCCACTGGGATGTCCATGAGAATGAAACTCAGAATTCCCAGCCAGAAGGTTGTAAATGTTCATGTGATGGTTGCCCCTGGGAGTGGGTGCCCAGACCCCCAAGGGGACTCTTAAGAAGGATCAGAGCTTGTCTTGATAGTCAGGATGGACTGGACTTCATGGACGTTTGCTGAGTGATCTACTGAATGTTTGGCTGTGTGGATTCTATGGTTGATTAAGAATAAAAGCAAAAGCAAAAACTGCACCCAAACTATAAACATAGGAGGCTGCCCTACCATTGTTAGGAGAGACAGTCAGACTCGTTGAAAACTAAGACATTTACTACCCCTCATGTCACAGATGCTGCAATGGAAGGGTCCTTTGAGACTATCTAATACAGGATTTGTAAGCATAAGTGGCTTCAAGACCAGAGGGTGATATGGTGGAGGGAAACAGGCCAAGTAAGACACAACAGGGATTATTAGCAGAGTGTGCACTATCTGCCCGAGTTTGTGAATCATTATCATCACTAACCCCTCAGTAGGCCTGAGAGCTTCCCATCTATCAATTCATTTTTTCTTCTACAACTTTATGAGGTAGAGAGAATACTAATATCCTTATTTTCAGATGTGAAATCTAAGGCAGAGTAGTGAAGTCACCAGCTAGTTAGTGGTGGAGCCAGGAATTGAACCATCTCCCAAGTTTGGGCTCATAAGTAGTACTCTGCTTTGCATTCCAAATTTATGGAAACCCCAGCAGCAAAATAATCACATCTGCAGGCAAATTTTGCCCCTTGGGCTATGAGTTTGCAGCCCCAGACATTCTAATTTCTCTATTCTAATCCTCATTTCTCATAGAGGAAGCTGCCGCCTCCATAAGAGAAGACGCTTGCTCGTGAGTCACAGATGCTAGGTGAGAACAGTCTTGACCCCACTCTTTGTCCCTCTGCCATCCTGCTACATCTTGTCTCTCAGGGCCAGAGTGGGCACAAGTGGAATAAAACCAGCTTACCCTTGCCTAGTCCCGAGATGGCATCGGTGATCACCACGACTTTGTTCTGCACGGCTGACTTTGACCACAGCCTGGACACCTCTTGGTAGATGAAGAGAAGACCGCTGATTCCCAAAAGCAGCAGGGGCAGCATGAGCACTGCTGTGACTCCCATCTTGTTCTGGGGGAAACTAATCAAAAGGAATTGGCTTGGCAAAGAGACCCAAAAGGGACAATGGGGCAGGAGTCCCAAGGTTGCAGGGTGCACTCATTGTGCACCAAGCCTGGAGTGTCCTCTCCAAGGAGCTGGGCTGTGTGCAAATGCCCTGAGGGCTGCTTTGGAGCTGAACTCCCAGTGCGCACGCTAATCCCCAAATATTCAACGAATAGAAAATTACTCACAGTGTCTCCGAAAACAAATGGAATCCAGGGGGCCTGCCCTCCCAAAGGCTAATTACAAACTTAATTAAAATGGGTCTGCATTTTTGGAAGGAAATCCATGTGTTAAGGCCACTTGCTTGGGCTCTAATGACTATTTATAGATCTCAGTTCACTAAAGGGCTTTTCAGGGTAAATATAGTATCTATTCCGACATTCAGGGACACATGCTGGCGGGGTCTGATTTCAAAGTTCTTGCCAGGACTTTTAAAGTTTGCTTGGCTTGCCTGGCTATTAGAGGTTTCCTCTGCAGTTTGGAGCTGAGCTTTAAAGAGCAGGAACTGGGATTTTAGCACAGATATCCTTGCTCTCATTTCCTGTGACAACAGTGTCAGGCAGCTTCCAGGTAGCTCAGATGGGGATGGTGGTGGACCATCTGGCTTCTTTTTCTGGCTGGGGATGAAAGCAGAGAAAAGCTGTTAAGCAGAATGGTACCTATGGCAGAATGCATCACTTGGAGGTGTGCCATGAGCTTTTGGAAAGTTTGGGGAGTTTCTCATTAGTCAAGTAACTCCACCTGTGAGCTTTAGCATCCTTATCTGTAAAATGGGCTCAAGGTGCTAATCTTTCAGGACTGTTGGAAGGACAAAATAAGGTACTGAATATCAAGCTAGTATAGGCCCTGACTCACAAGAATATGATGACTGCTATCTTTAATGATTAAGAATTTATCCCCCAAATGTTAAAATTTTAATTATACCAAGAAACTCAGTAGGATTAGAAGTAGACATGAAAAGCTAAAACCTAGCTCAGGTATGCAAACCATCAAAACCCAGAAGTGCAGTCATAATGACTCATAGTTTGTGTAGTAAGGATTGTTGAGCTGAGCAGAAAGTGGGGCAAGGAGCAGTAGGTGGGGGTGGGGTTAGGGGAATGGCATTTCTTCCTTGGAAATTAAGAATAATCAGGAACTTAAAATAAACACATTTAAAAAATTGAGGTAACATTGGTTTGCAGTACAGTATACAATTCAGAGATATAGGATCACACCTGTTGAGATGTATGTCACCTCACCACACCTACTACCAAGGCACCCACAGTCCTCCACCATAGTCTATGGGGTCCCCTCTATTCCCTGCTCCCCTCCGCTCCCTCTCTGGTTGCCTTAATTCTACAGACCGATTTCTAAGGTTTGTTATTAGTTTTGTTTTGACTCTCCCTTTGTATGGTTTCTCTCTATTCCACATAGAAGTAAAACCATCCACTATTTCTTTCTCTTCCTGACTTATTTCGCCTAGCATCATCCCCTCTGCTTCCATCCACATTGTCACAAATGGCAAGAGTTTATCATTTTTATCTCTAAGTAGTATTTCATTAAAAACATACTTTTAATTGCTATATAATATGCATATAGGGCACATGTCCTAAATGTGAGTCTTCCTGAATCTTCATAAACAGAACATATTTCTTTAGATCAAGATACAGCAACGTCAACATGCCCCCATCACACTTCTTTCCAGCCCTTCAGGCAAATGACTGTCTAACTTTTAAAAGCAGGTATAAAAGGTAATTTTTATACAGCAGGAATAATGTTTCCTTCAACATTCATTGTAAAGTTGAGAAAAAAAGAAATCTTAGGCAACATTGAAAAAAAATACTTCTAGGACCTGCTTTTGTTATATATCCTTTGCTTAAAGTTGCAGTTTCCAAGAACCTATCAATGATGTTAAATGAGGCCAACTGTTAGTTGTTACTTTGGTTTAAAGATATTTCAAACATCAATTCCAAAGAGCACCTGCACTCCTATGTTTATAGCAGCACTGTTTACAATAGCTAAGCTTTGGAAACAACCCAAATGCCCAAAAGTAGATGACTGGATCAAGAAGATGTGGTACATATATACCATGGAATATTACTCAGCATTCAAAAAAGATAAACACATGCAATTTGCAGCAACATGGATGGCGCTGGAAGGGATCATGCTCAGCGAAATAAGCCAAAAAGAAAAGAAAAATACCGGATGGTCTCACTCATAGCAGGAATCTAGAAAACTTAAATAAGGGACCAGGAAAATGAATATAAGAAAGTGAAAATCAAAATCAACAAAAAACTATGAACCAGAGACACTTTTTGGGGGTGGGGGCGGGAGGGGAAGGATTGGGGTCAGAATGGGGCGTTTGCAATTGTATGGGGGAATATAAAAATAAAATTTAATTTAAAAAAAAAAAAAAAAAAAAAAAAAATAAAGATATTTCATTTAAATAGATTCACAGAGTTGTTTTGTGGAACATTTTGATTATGAGATTCATCTACGTTGTTGGTGAAGTTGGCGATGATTCATTTTCACTGGGTGACTGTCCCTCCCATGTTTTAATGTCAGCACAGTCTTCTGCGCCTTGGCATTTGAATGATGGTTTCACCAACCTAAAAGATGCCCGAAGTCACCAGCTCACAAGATCCTCAGAGCTCGGTTGAATAAAAGGCAATTTGAACATTGCCCTCGGGCTCTGGCGATGGGGAAGAGGCACAATAGGACTATGGGTTGTCTGGCTTGGGATGATGTTTGAACTCAGACGAAGTGACCAGGGAAATTTAGTTGTACTAATGAAAACTCAACCCATTGAGGGCGGTGGGGATTTCCTTTTCTTTCAAAGAATATACCAACCAAAATCACACTCTTTAGTCTACAAAAGATTCTTGCTCCAAATCCCTGTCTACTTTCTTGTCTAACATAGGAGAGAAACCTGAAAGTTTGCCTACGTCTGAACCAATGTTAGACACTGTCTCCTCCAGGGATGGAGCATGAAGTCTCATCAGGATGAATGCATCCATGGAGGATGTGAAAGCCACAGTCCAGATCAGAGTAAGTCTCACCTGTCTTCTCCTGGGGAGTCTCTTCATTTCCTTAGCTCCAAACAGAAGCCATGTCCAGCTTCAGAGCCACAGACATTGGAGTCTCTGCATTGAAAATCCATGTCTGAATCAGAGGGAAAAAAATCCCCTCAGTCACTTCCTACCAGAAGTCTAACCCTTTCCCTCCTCTCCATAAAAGGCACCCAGGGCTCTGCCCTTGTTTATTCTTGCTTAGGCACAAGGGAGGTTTCAGCCACTACCAGATTCTGTCACTCATCTTGTAAAATGAGACAAGGGCCCCTGGCTTTCTGAGTCCCCAGAGCTGGGGGAAGATCACTGAAGTTCAGCTGGTTGCTTCTGGTGATGGGTCTTTGATTCAGTACAACGCCCTGGCAACTGCCATGTCTGCTGGGCTGGTCCTCTAACAGCTAATCCCAAACAGGCTTTTTACTAATGCCAGAAAAGGAAGAAGGTTGACTCCTGACTTCTAGTGCCTGGAATGTTGTAGTCACCTGATAAAATTCACTGCATGGTTAAATAGGATGGGTGGCTTCCAGGCTAAAATTGATTGGCGGATTTGCACGCATTTGATCCTGGATTTCTCTCACGGAGATTTCACTATTGTTCCCCCAATTCATTGGCAAAGACTCAGACTCTGTCTTGTTTCCTTATACACCCATAGGCCCTAATGCAGCACTTTGCACATGGCAGACACTGGCAGGTAATTCTTCCATTGTGCTTATTAAGTACCAGGCATTGTTCCAAGGTCTTGAAATTGCTCACATGCTTCATCCTTACAAATCTTAAAATGGGTAGGATTTGTCTCTTATTGTATAGATGAGAAATGGAGGCATAGAGAGATAAGTGACTTGTCCAAGGTCAAGGGAAGGAGCTGGTATTTATATTCAGGCAGTCTGTCTCCAAAAGTCCATGCTCTTAATCACAAGCTATGTCAGTTTGCACAAAATGCTAAAGAAAAAATGTCTACTTGAATAGAACACACATGCATATGCCACATGTAGTACCTTCACATGTTTATATGTTTCTCTCTCCTGCCTTCCTGCCTTCCTTCCATCTATCCTTTTTGTAGAGGAGGGAAAGTAGGAAAAACAGCATTTTGCCTGAATTCGAAGCCATGATATTTTTTTAAATTAAATTTTTAATTTTTTTTTGCATCATTGTTCATTTTTAAACAATGTTTGCTTCCTCCCACCCCCCCAGGTGTAGTCCCCATAGAGTTTCCTTCCCCAAGGCACCCGTGCACTATCACCTCAGTCCCCTGTGCTCCTCCTTCCCTCCCTCTGATCCCTCTCCCTCCTCCTCCCCTGCAGCATGTCTCTGGTTTATAACTGTCTGATTTTGCTTTGTTGTGTTTTGTACTGTTACTATTTTTTTTTACACTGATGTCTTATTTTGTTTTCCTATATTCCTGCTATAAGTGAAACCATGTGATATTTTTTTTTCCTTCTGGCTTATTTCACTGAGCATAATTCCTTCTAGCTCCCTCCATGTTGCTGCGAATGGCATGAGTTTATCATTTTTGATTGCTGAATAATATTCCATTGTGTATATATACTATATCATTTGGTTTTGGTATTAGTGTAATGTTGCGAAGCCAGGATATTTTGAAAGTGCTTGTTTGTGTGTGTGTGTGTGTGTGTGTGTTTTTGTGGGACCCTCGCCAGTGGCTGGGGATCAAACTGGCGCTGCAGAGGCTGCGGGCAGCCTCGCAACCCAGCGCTCAACCACTGCGCCACCAGGGAGGCCCTGAAAGTGCTTGTTTATTAATATATCATCATTATATTTAATAGGATGTTTATTAACATTAAATATATTCTTAATCTTAAATCTAGGAGATTATCAAACAAACTAAAGTGGTATAGTGTTAAAATGACTTTCTCTCAGTTTTCATTTACATTAAGTAGGGCTTTTTTTTTTTATTGAGGCAACATTGATTTACAACACTGTATGTGATTCAGAGGCATAGGATCACACCTCCTCAGATGCTGTTACCATACCACACCCAATTCCAAGGCACCCATAGTCCACTGTGCCCCCTCTTCATTTTGTTCCCCCTTTCCTACTCTCCTTCTGGTAATCTCAATTCTACAGTCAGCTCTCTAAGGTTTGGTATTGGTTTGATCTGACTTTTTTTTTTTTTTCAATTTTTTTTAAATTTATTGAAAAATGCAA